ATCTATGACTTCATACATCATCTGCACCCCCAGCTCCTGGAGACACCCCACTAGGAGTTTTGCTGCTTGGGACACCAAGAAGAGGCAAGAGACAAATCCTGCCTGTCTTGAGTAAAAGGACATAGAAGTAAGGCCTGAAAGGTGAGTAGCAGCTATAGGAGCTGCTGTTCCTCCAGCTCCAGTGAGCAGACTTGTGAGCTTGGGTAATGACTGGACTAGACTAAGGCCAGAGATGGAAAGCCACTTCAGCGTCTCCCCTCCCACAACACCAATGAGAGCTGATCAACCCCGTGTCACCTTACAAGCCACTTAATCCCTTCCGTCATGCTTCTCAAGGAAGGGGGCGTGTGGGCCAAGGTTTAGCTGCCACCAGCTGCCCCAGAGTCATATGCAGGATCACATGCAGGGTGATATGTCTGACTCCTCACCGGTCCCCCGCACCTAGGAATCACCCAGCCCTGCAACCCCACACCCAGCTGGCACTTTGATCTCTGCAGGGGCTGAAGCCGGTTCCCCTCTGCTCCAGCTTTGCAGAGGATCATTCTGATTTTGTCTGGACATCTCATATCCTGGCAGGTGTCAGTCTTGGCTTCCAAAGCACCTTCGAGGGGGAGGTGGGAAAAAGGAGGGTTGTAAAAATAAATGGTGTTGGAAACCCACATCTGCACCCACACTTCCTCTCAGTCCATGTGTTGGGGCCTTGTTCAAACTAAAGAATGTTCCCCTCCTCTCTAGCAATGCCACTAGCCTCCGTAAAAGCAGCTACACATTCTCCCACAGAAAATGTCATCTTCAACATTTCTGAGCACCCTAGAAGTGGAAACATATGTAGCTGGATGACCTGGAGACAGCCTGTACAAAGTTGTTCATAATCTCTATTAAGGAAAGAACCAGAGAGACCACCAGGCACACACAGGGCTGGAGGGCAGAGCAACTAACTCAATGCTTTTCTCAGCTTCCCTGGTCTGGGTCCCACCAGCTGCTGCTCACACCAGCTACAGTTTGTGATGAGTCAGTCTGTGCTGCTCCCTGGAAGAAGCTGCTGTGGAAGTAAACCATTTACAAAACAGATCCTTTCAAAGCTTTGAATGTCTTCCACTGGGTATCTTCCAGGAGAACTATAATACTAGAAGGAGTCTCCTGTTCTTGAGCTCTCCAGCCCCAGATTTGGTAGCAGTGAGAAAGGAAGAGAATTCTCTCACAAAGTTTGGCTCTTTCTGTCTGTTCAGGCTTAAATTACAGACACAAAAGCCATGGTTGCCGACAGCTTCAGCCCAATTCAGATGGGCCAAGACACTGCTTTGCTTTGGACCTCACCTTCCCAGGATGCTTCCCTCTGCTCCAGACAGTAAATTGATCTTACACCTGGCTGAGATGGGATCTTACTGAAATTGCCTTAAAGCCAGGGACAGAGACGTAAAGAAAGCTGTGGCTACATCAGACTGCAAGGCAGGTCACCCTCTCCCTGCTCCAGTGTCCCACATGAGCCCAGCATGTGCTTTTAGCTGAGCAATGTTTTTAAGATCACAGTTTATTATGCTGGAGAACAGCTCCCTAACTAAGACCAAGTTTGGTCTGTCCCCATGTGAGTTTCTACAAGACTCACTGATGCCTTCTTTCTCCCTCTTTCTTCATGTTTTCCAGGTGGCTTCTTTAGCTGTTGAGACCCTAGATAACTGAGTCAGCCTAAGTGCCTTTCTGATAGCTATTGCTGAACCCTTGTTTTTAGCAGGCCTGCTGTTTGCTAAAGCAAACATTCTGGGATGTTCAACAGAGGTGCAGTGTGAGCTAGAACAGGAGAAGGCCTAAACCCAAGTAAGTTCTAAGGTTCACACAGTGCTGCACTGTGTGAGAGGATGCCTAATGAGTAAGAGAAGGGTCTATATGCTATGAGGTTTCTCCAGGATAATTTCTTCATCTGCAGCAATCTTTGATTAGTCTTCACAGCTTTGTGCTTAGCAGCAGCTCTTGTGGATTATTCTCCATGTGTTTTGGGTTTTCTTGTTCCTTTTTGAACTCCTTTAAACAGCTAGCATCCATTTATCCAAAAGCAAGGAGCCTCTCTGGTTAGCTCTGCACAGAACAAAGAATTTACCTTTACACTTTTCTCCTGCTACTTTCACTTGGCAACCCTGGTTCTTGTATTGAAAGAAACTGAACTGTCATTCTTTCAATAACATTCACCTCCATTATTTAGCCCACCTCTAGTCTTTCACCAGCTGAAGGCTCTCAGCTCATGCTTGGTAGTGTCAACCCTCTGACCACCCTTGTAGCCCTTCTTCATTACCTGCAAAGTCCTGCTAGATACACTTTGTGGTGGGGAGACCAGAAGGGCACTCTGGAGTTGACAGCAGGTGGGACATCCAGTGGGCTGCAGGCTGTTCTTGGCACCACACTGTAACAAAGATAAACACTTGGGAAATCTGAGCTTGGAAGGAAAATTGAAGGATCTGCATTTCTTTTGTCCAAAAAGGAAAGGACCAGGAGGCAGCAAGTAAAAAATGTTTCTGTATATAAGGACAAGGATGGATTGCTCTCCATGTTCAGTGTGGGGACAAGACAAGGAGAGCAAGGTTCCATTTGTGGCAGAGATGATTCAGATCAACTATTAGGAAACTCCTCCTACCCTGAGCACACACAAACCCTGCAACAAGCTGTGAGGAAGGGATGAAGCCTCTTTCACTGGCAGTATTTACAAACAGGTTGGACACCCATCTGTTGGAAGGGTTTGGGGAGAGCTGTCTTGCAAGACTGTCAGGGTCCCTCCAGCCTCACATTTCTCCCTTCATGTTCCCTCTGTTGGACCATTGGGCTAGGACAGACCCTGCCATCCGGGGGCTGGAGACACTCTGCCAAAGGCCCTGAGGGGATGAACAGCACTAAGAAGAAATCTGTGCAAATCTATTACCTGTACTGTCTGCCGAAGGCAGGGGGGATCTCAGTATCAGGCACGTCCCCAGTGGGAGCTGCCTTCTCACCTCCCTCCGCTGCCACAGAATGTCACTGCTCTAATTACAAAGGTCATCACAAAGGAAAACCTGACAGGACTATGTGGATTTTGGTCATTTGCAGCCCCACGGGCTTTTCTTACTTGCTTCTTAGGGACATTTTGGGAACCCATGGACCACAGACTGAAAGTCATTGATTACAATTACACATCATGGGCTCATGTCACTTCGTGGGTCACAGCACCTGTGGCCAAACTGAGAGACCCCATCCTTCTCCTCTGCATTGAGGTACCTGCTCCGAGCTCTGAGCCAGGCCACATGAAGATGCCTCAAGCTTTCAGCTTCCAGAGCAGTGCTAAGGCACCAGTTCCTCAACTGGCCAGAGAAGATGGGGTGGACAAGCAATGAGCCTTCAGCTGCCCAATGGTTCTCACCAAGGACATTATTTGAAATAAGGTACATATTTTCAAGAGTTTACACCAAAGGAGACTGCTGATGGCTGCTTCTTTCTCCGTGAGAGCAGGGTGAGTTCCCTACCCATGTGTGCTGTGGTGCAGGTGTGGTGAAGAGGTGGATTAGCTAGACCAGATGTACATGGTCTACCCAAGACTATGGTGTCCCAGGCAGTCACTTCTACTCTGAGTCCCTGAAGACAATCATTCTGGCTGAAGGCACCACTGAACTGCTCTGTCAGCACTGCATTCATTATGGGAACCTTCATAAGTGAATGGACTTAATGTGTCCCCCCAGGTTGTGTTGACAGTGGAGGATCATTCAGGTTGTAGTACTGATCCAGAGACAATGCTCAGCTCCATCAGCACCTGCTGATGCCCAGGTCCCTCTCCGGATTTGTCTGTGTGATCGATGCTGCACAATCCCTATTGTGTGCCCTCCCTTCCCTCTCTTCCAGCTCATGCGAAGCATGGCCACAAAGCAACCCATCTTTTCGTACTTGTAAATGCATTTTACAGAGTTGTAAATGCTCTTATTGATTCCTCACCCATATTATCCTTGCTGCTCAGGCAAGAATTAACTTCCATTTGAGGATAAATTATTAATCAGCCTTCTCCAGGTCTATTTCATAATCATTTCCACCATCCCAGCTGTCACATAAGAAGGATTTGCATATTTATTCTGCCACTTTTCCCCAGAACAGTATGTGGTGGCCCACGTTTACCTTCAGTCTCTTAAATCACTTTCCCTGCCTTATAAAAGCATTGCCTTTAGACAGAGCAGGCCCCGCACAGCGCAGTCCACGTCCTTCTGACTCATTTACTTTGTGGCATATTTTTGCCAGCAAATACTTTTCCTTTTCACTTCTCTGCTTTTTCATTGCTTCTTTATGACACCCTGTAGGGTAAAACTGTGTGGTTTGTTCAACAACCCATAACAAAAATACACAAGCTTCCAGCCTGGTACTGACTGTCTTTGGTCCCCGGCCCAGCTTGCGCAGGAGAGCGTGTTGAGCTGCTATTTTGGCTTTTGGCACTGTTCTCTTTCCCCCAGACGGTCAGAGATGAGCAGCCTGCGTGCTCTACCCAAGCCATGGCTGTGTTTCGGTGGCAAGGGAGTGCTGCTGGATGGGAGCAGTTTTGGGAGCAGTGGGGAGGAGCAGGGATGGGAGCTTGGTGAAGCACCAGGCTAGGAAGGGACTATACATACAGTCAAATGGAGGGGACTGAGCAACACTAAGGGATGGCGTTTTAAGCAGCAGCAGGGAAACTGAGGTACAGACCAAACCAATGCCTTATGCAAGACTGTGAAGCAGAGCTGTGTCAGAGCCAAGAAAGCCCCGAAGAAATGCAGCCTTAAAACAACATGCCAGAGGCCACACGCTAGGAGAGACCTGAGATTCCTGGTCCCCATAAGCCCAGGGTGGGAAGGCAGTGAGCCGTCAGGTTCACCCCAGCGTTGCCCTCGTCCTTGTGCTGCTCCCGTTATGGTTCTCAACAGGGTTTCCGTATGCCGGACGAGCGCACAGGCTGATTCCTTCCAGCAGATGGTAGCAGGAGTATACGAGGGGACGGGTATCCAGCCGGGACCCCCGCTGCTCCTCACGGCAATGGCCGCTGAGCAAGAAGTGCCTGGATCCAAGGCACCATGGGGGGCTACTGCCTTTCCTTGGCACCCAGGCCATGTACAGCATGAGTTAACGAAGGACTCACTATCCCACAGTGGATTCAGACATGAAATGTCAGGGGGATGTGCTTGTAGACTCAGCAGCCAGTTGGGCATGGTCAGCCAAGATGGCTGACATGGCGCAGGCCAATATGGCGGCCATGGAAGAGGTCAAGGTGGTTGCCATGTCATCAGGCAAGATGGCAACCATGGCACAGGCCGAGACAACTGCCACAACACTAAGCAGGAACTAATTTACAGCCCCATTGTTCCCACGTTGCATTTGGAGTGGTTCTTCCACCTCAGATCTCACGCTCCTGTTCCTTCAGGAGGTGGCATGTTAGCTGGACTCGTCCCTCTCTGCAGCTCCTCAGATTTACTCTGGTTCCTGTCCCTGTTCTTTCCTTCATCCCCATGTATGGCCCCAGCTCTCCTGGTTTACCACCGACACTGGTAACTTCCTCCATGTCTTCAAGTCCTGAATACTTAGGGGAAGTTCGTATCTCTTTTTTTTTTTCTTGGCAGAGAAAGCTTAAAAATGTGATGTGAGTGCAACAGGAAGAGCAGAGACCAATCAATAGAAATCGAAAGGAGACATTAAACCAGCAGCTCGACAGTAGGACCTGGATGGTTGGGGTGTACACAGTATATGGATCTGTTTCACAAGTGGGGATAAAAAAGATCCTTTAAGAGACCTGAGATGAGAGCAAAGTGGGGAGGTCTCAGCAGGAGGATGGACAGGAGGACATGCAGGAGATAGAATCATAGAATCATAGAATAGTTAGGGTTGGAAAGGACCTTAACATCATCATCAAGTTCCAACCCCCCTGATATGGGCAGGGACACCTCGCTCTAAACCATATTACCCAAGGCCTCGTCCAACCTGGCCTTGAACACTGCCAGGGTTGCAGCATTCACAGCCTCCCTGGGCAACCTATTCCAGTGCCTCACCACCCTCACAGGAAAGAATTTCCTCCCTATATCCAATCTAAACTTCCCTTGTTTAAGTTTTAACCCATTACCCCTTGTCCTATCACTACAGTCCCTAATGAAGAGTCCATCCCCAGCATCCCTGTAGGCCCACTTCAGATACTGGAAGGCTGCTATGAGGTCTCCATGCAGCCTTCTCTTCTCCAGGCTGAACAGACCCAGCTTTCTCAGCCTATCTTCATATGGGAGGTGCTCCAGTCCCCTGATCATCCTCGTGGCCCTCCTCTGGACTTGTTCCAACAGTTCCATGTCCTTTTTATGTTGAGGACACCAGAACTGCACACAATACTCCAAGTGAGGTCTCACGAGAGCAGAGTAAAGGGGCAGGATCACCTCCTTCGACCTGCTGGTCACGCTCCTTTTGATGCAGCCCAGGATACGGTTGGCTTTCTGGGCTGCGAGTGCACACTGCCGGCTCATGTTCATTTTCTCATCAACCAGCACCCGCAAGTCCTTCTCCGCAGGGCTGCTCTGAATCTCTTCTTTGCCCAACCTGTAGCTGTGCCTGGGTACCAATGCTAAAGGACATAGCTGGCAGCTGAGGAGATGAAGGACAGCAATACCCAGCTGCATGTGTTAGTCCGCAGGGTTGGATTGGGTGTGATTGCCCAGCAAGCCTCTTAGCACCCATGTTAGCATGGCATCCACAACTCCATCATGTCATGGTGGGCAAGCAGGAGTGAGGTGCAGCAAGGAGCATAGATCAACAGCATCAACTGCATCTGATTTTCAGAGGGAATCTTTGCTTTTGCTGCATGGTTAGAGGGCTATATTACCATTCTGGCAAGCACATTGAGAGGGCTCCTCCAAGAAGCCTTGCAGGGAAGAGTCAGGTGCATGGTCTTCTATATACAGTACATACAGAGAGGTGTAGCTGTCTGCCAGAGGGTTTGGTAGCAGGTCTGTCCCACTGGCTAGCAAAACACCTAATTCCTCCAAGCCCAGTGCCTTTGTCCTCAGTCCTGGTGTCTCCGACTTACGGTTGCTGCCCAAAGGGCTGGAATTTTGGGGTTTAGCTTGGGGATTCCTATGGAAACAAGCTTTAGTCCCCCTGTTTTCATCTATGCCTACCTGTCTGCCCCTCAACACCTTTTTAAACTGCCCAACATTTTCAAGTAATTTTGACAGAAGGGATGAGGCCTCAAAGACGTGACATTATGACAACCCTTAGAAATGTAATTGCTTAGGAAGAGAGATCCAAACTAACATCATCACTGAGAGAAGGAGCTCAACCCGTGAAAGAAGGCCATTACCCACTCACTGCCTTTCTTTGCACTGCTTAGTGTAGCTTGTCATCCCTGGAGCAGACAGTTGGGCACCTCTGCTGCAATGTTAAGCCCTGGTTTATCTGGGGGAGGATGCAGTGCAATGAAGACATGGCACATCAGCAGTGAAGCCAAGAGGTGCTTTCTCCAACAGCCAGTGTCCCCAGGTGCCTGGAGAGCTTGTGTGCTTGCTCACTAAGCCGTGTTGCTGCCTCCTGGCTGCAGCAGCTTCCCACCTCTAGAAGGTCCGGCTCCCATTACTCTGCCCACTTTCCCAAGACCCCAGGATGGGACCGGATGATGGGGGTGCTCCTCTCATGAAGATGTAGGGCTCGCACGTGTTGGATGCTGGAGGATGGGGAATTCAAGGCACAGTGCTGGGAAGGGGAGAGCCAGTTCCTGCTGTGGGGGGAGCCATGGGGCTAGTGTCGCTATGTGTGACATTTGACAGGTCTGCAACATATTCTGTGTCCCACTGCAGGCTGGGGCTGCCCTCCAAATCTGCTTCCAGCCTGTCTCAATGTGAGGTTAAATCCTCACTCAGGAGTAGGAAAGCAGAGAAGCAGCAGATGGAACCAATCAATTTGTAATCAGAAAGCTGATCAATTTGTGGGGACCCTTCGCTACCCAAAGGCAGGGTGAGAACAGTGTCCAACCACTGCATACATGCAGGAAAGATCAGTGGGCAGCCTATAATAAACCCTAAATGTATTTCCAGCCATAAAACGCTTGACATGCCTTCAGAAAGGCTGTTGAAATCCCTGATTTGCAGCTGGCACTCATTTTCCATCTCAGGTAATAAAAAGACTCAGCCATAGTGCTCAGATATTTTATCGTCGGGGTCCGTTGCCATCCCCCAATCCCACGACCAGATCGCAGGGACTTACACACCTCCTCTTCCTTCTCAAGGCTCTCCTTTCCCTTCAAAAGCAGATCCGGACTGGTGCAGGTGATGGGAGGGTGAGATAATGAGCAGCAGTGGTGATTTCAGGAAGTGGTTGGGACTTGTAAATCCTCACAGGGGCTTCCTCTGTCAGAGGAGCCATCCGGGGAGCAGGGCATGTGCGGGCTGAAGTCATGCCTGTTAGCAAGGTATTTGTTCTTCTGGCCCCCGTGGCCCAGGCGGGTTGTCGTAACATCCCTCAAGCCGGGATCTGGTTGCAGCAATAAAGTCGGGCGGGTTGGGTTCCTGGCTGGGCAGGAAAGAGTTATTGATCAATGCCATGAATCCTTCCCACCTTCCTCCCGCCCCCAGGGTGCATACCAAGAGAGGTGGGTAGGAAAGGAAAGCAAAGCTCGAAAGATGCTCTGGTCAGCAGCCAGGGCAAGGACATGGGAAAGGCTTAAACACAAACTGAGTGAAGTGCAGGTCCTTTTAACTGTCTCCAGATCAGGGCTGCAGGTGGATGTGGTTCACTCTGTGGCTGAGCAAATGCATCTGCAACCATAAGGAGAGGGGGGTTAGTGTTTCTCCATTCATTTGCTCAGAGGACATGCCAAGGCTCTGATCTCTCCCTCACATCCCTATAGGTGCACAGGCTGCAGCAGCTCCATGCCTCATACAGGCCCCAGTGGTCAGTGCTGTAGACCACTGACCACTCATAGGAGTTGCTCATGGGAGTGCTCAGCCATTCCCTGCCTGCTGAACGTGTGCACACAAACTAAGCAGCACTGTGTTTATAAGCACATTTAGCTGAGAGCAGTTTGAAGGCAGTCCTTTATGCTCTGGGGCTGAAGAGACAGCAGGGATCCTGATCGAGGGTGGGGGTCTCAGCATAGTAAGATAATACCAAAGGAAGCTAATGCCAAAGGAGCAACATGCTTGTATCTTGCATTGTATAGGATCTCCAGAGATTATTTCCTCTCTTACAGGAGGCTGGTATTATTGCAGGACTCTTGCTATGTGCCCAACAGGGAAACCTCTGGCATGTGTCCCAAGACCCAACATTTTGGCCAGCTACTCAAGCTGCATACCTGGCCAGGTATTATCACTATAATAAGATTGATATTAGTAATACCACTAACAATTGTGGTAATGCTAATAAAATAATATTGTACTCCTTCATCCAAGGAGCTCGAAGCTTTTAAAGGAGATTAAGTCTCATGGCATCCATCCCACTTCAGGAAAGCTTATTTAGACAGCAACAAAGCCTCCTCACCACCTTTGTGGAGTGCAGTCTTCTCCAAGGTGGAACACAGCAGCTATTTATGAGTATGCAATAACAGCCTTCAGCAATCTAGGCCAAGCAATGAAAGTGAATACTATATTCAGAGCAATTACAGAGGTTATATAGAAGACAATGTACAAGGACACTCAGCTCAGCTGTTAGGCTTTTAGATGCATTAGGGGACTTCCTGAGGTGTTCAGAACCTACTCCAGTCCATCACAAAGACCTTTGGCTGTGGCAGCAGTGTGATCTCTCGCCCCAGCCTGGCCACCCATCCATCTCTGGTTTGGAAATCAGGGAAGGCAGAAGCCTTGCTGTCTCCCCTCTGTTACTCAGCCTACCCTTACTCCTGCCCTGGCACTCTGCAGGAGGCATTTCTTCATGTGCTGACTTGGGGTTGTCCGATGAGACCAGCAGCTTGGAGACGGAAAGCTTTTGAGACCTGTGTTCCCCTTCCAGAACAGCCTGTGCAAGCCTGTCAGGAGCACACAGTCCCCATAGGTAGATTGCATCCACAAGAGGCAAGTCTTGATGGCTAAAGCCTCCTCAAACCACAGCCTTTTCTTCTGTGGCCTTGAAGTCACAGACACCACTACCCAGCCTGAACATCTACAGGGGAAGCTGCTCTGGGACTTAGACCTATAAGGTGCTGGTGGAGAAAGAGCCAAAGCATCTCTCTGCTCATCAGTCCCCAGTGTGCTGGCCTCAACTCCTGCAGGCTTTGAGGAACGCAGAACTAGTTAGCAACACTGGTGTGAGTGGGTCCGAGAGGTCATGCTGAAAAATGGCACTTTGTCAAAAATGTCATTTCAGCAGCATTTCATTGTGTTTTTCTTTAAACGAAATATTTCAGAAGGAAATGAGGCCCATGCGTTGTTTCAGAATATGTTGAAATATTCTGCTACTGTTTGGATTCTTCTATAGAAACATCTTCCTTATGGCTGGACTCTTCCTCCTCTTTCAGTCTATCATCTGCAGCTCAAAAAGCAGCTTCTTGTCATTCTTCAGATAATGCGGGTTTTGGTCACAGCATAGAAATTCAGTATTCCCTTTACTTGAAAAAGATGTGCAAAACCAAGATGAAAATTGTATCTCCACAGGCACTGATCCTGATCCCAGTGCATGCTCTTTTCCTTTTTCTCTTCCTTTTCCTTTTTCTTTTGCTTTTTTTTATTTTTATTTTTCTATTTCTTAATTGAATCATTTTCAGAGAGCTTGGCTACCCTTTTCTACTGAACCTAGATGACTGTGCTTTGGGGCACCAATGCAGGCAGCCAGGCCTTTTCTCATGGCTACCAGTGGAAGCCCAGGGCTGATGCAGAAGAAGGGCAAGCACAAAGCCTTACTTGTCCTGGCCTCCCTCTCCCCACCCCTCCCCAGCCTCGTGCTGCCTATTGCTGGGAGATTCCAGGAAAAGCTCAGCCACATTACCTGTGTTTGGCTCCCCAGAAAACATCCCACCCAGATTCAGGGATCTCCAGGAGTGTAACACCCATCCCTGTCTTAGGGTTGAGCTCCAGCAGCTCATCTCTTGTTTTGCTTGAAAATGTGGGGTTTGTTGCTCATTTGAAGCTGCCTGGTTTCATCTCCAGCCCTGCATTCACTGCCAGAATAGGCAATAGGCTGGGGGCCTCTGGCTGTCAGTATCACAGGGATTAGAGGTGTGAGGGGTGGGGAGACCCATCCTATAGTTCCTCACTGCCCTCCCCCACCTCTGCCTTTTCACTGCCTGGGAAAGAGATGGCAGGACCTCACCTAGGACCCTGGAGACAGGCTATCAGAAAGGAAGAGGCTGCTGCTGTGCACGTCAGGAATGATTTGATCAGCAAGAGAGATGAGCACCTCTAGCACTGACATCAGGGGACAGGCAGAGGAGAGTGTGAAAAAGCTAGTGATGAACAGCAGGACTGCAGCACATGGCAGGGTGCAGAGACACAGGGCTGGGGAGGAGCACCCACGGCTGGGCATGGGCCTCTGCTGGGGACAGCAGAAGGGTTGATGAGACTGACTGATGCCGTGCTGAAAGTCTTCTCCTGCAAAACCAGCCCCAGTGCTTCCATCTGGGATAACAGTTTGAGAAGTTGTTAGTGCAAAGCTGTGTCCCTGTGCATCCTGCACTGGCTGGGAGTAAAACCAATTGGGTGGTGCAAAGCACTTTTCTCTTACCCACATGCATGAGTATTTACCCACACGTGCAAACACCCCACTTGTTATATGTTACCTACGAAAGGATAGGTGAGTTCACCAAGTGGGGAATCAGCTTTGCCCAAACTCTTCCAGGCAGACCCTACTTTAGCCTGCCTTTCTCTGGAAACTGGTCTGTAGTCAGGCACATCTGCTGAACCTTTCCATGAGCCATCCCACAGCCTTCCTCTGTGTTCACTGGGCAGCAGTAGGAACGGGCTGCATGACCCAGGCTCCTCCAGACAAAGCTCTCAGCCACCAGGCTTGCCAAGCCGCTGAGAGCAAACCCCTTCCAGTTTTTTCTCTTTAAGACTTAATTTAAAAGTGGATACAGTGTTGATGAAAGGTGCTGCACTGACAGCCCTGGACAGCAACATGCTTACCTATGGAACAGAGTTTTAAGGGTCCTTACAGCAGTAACAATCATGTCCTTGTCGTTTGCAAGACCAGATTTCCAGCAAGAAAATTCCCATGCAGGTTTCCAAAGAGAGGCCAGGTAGGATGCACACCACACCCACGTGCATCTACATGCGTGCTCCAAGCCATGTGGTGCTCTGTCTCCTCCTGCCACACCAGACTGTCAAGGCCACCAAGACCATCAAGGCCCTTCTCTGGCCTCCTCAGTTCAGCAGTTTCTGAGGCTGAGGATACCACCTGCAAATTGCTTTCAGGGGCTGGATTCCCACCAAGCACAGCCCAAAGCCTGGCATTACAGCGTGTCCTAACCGACCATGGGTACATTTTTGCCTCACATTTAGCCAGACACTTCAAGGCCTAACCTCCTCAAGGATGCTCACAGGGAACAGGCCTTTGGGTAATATCCACTCCCCAGAAGCAATTCCCCTCCTTTAAGAGCCGAACACTCTTTTAATACATCTTGGTCTCCTCTGCCCTCTTTTCTTCAGAGCATTTTGCCATCTATTTGCCTTTATTTCCTTTGGGAACAACTCCCTTTTATTTCCAGGGGCAAAATTAGCCCAGTGGCTGGGGGTGGGGGTAACCTCTTTTAACCTCCACCTTAAAAACAACAACAAAAACCCAACAAACATTAAAAACACAACAACAATATCAAAAGAAATTCAGACCAGAAATCCTGCAGAGGACCACAGCATGTTATTATGGCCATGTCTACAGCCAAGCCTCCCTGTCAAAACCCCATTGTACCCCTCTGTGATTCTCAGCCATACAGTCTGCTGGTGTCTCCTTGCCTCTATTTATACTAAAGCCCTTGCAGAATAAAACATCCATGTAAAATCCAATTTCCTCTGAATCTCTCTCGGAGAAGAGGCCTCGAGATTGAGTAGATAACCTCTGCAGTAATTGCCTGAACCACTCCTGTTTGCTGGAAAGGTGAGATCCATTTTTCAATTATCTATCTGCAGTGACAGCAGCGAGCAACGGAGCTAAGAGGAAGGAGAGAGAGAGGCAGAGAGAGAGAGAGAGAGAGAGAGGAAATCCAGCCAACAAGAGCCGTCTGTGTCAATCCTGGCAAACGGGAGGTACGATAGATGTGGTCACAGTTCCTGCCATCAATATCCTCTAATATAAATGTCAGCAATGCCATTTTACCCACAGTCATTTCCCACAATGCTGATTACATTATCGTATAATAGAGGGGCGCCAGCCGCACCGCTTTCTCTCCTAACCCTCCTTGCGGTAATGTGTCAATAGCCTGCCTCCATGAAACAAGTCAATTTTCTGCAGGCTTGGCAGCGGAATAAATCTGCCGACTATCTAGAGAGCTGGAGATATTTATACACACCGCGTCCTCTCTCTCGCGCTCTCTTTCTTTCGCCCTCCCCCCTCCCGCCTTCCCTCCCTGTGTGTGCAAGCATAGATGTGTGTCCTCAGCAGAATTGAGTGATTTTCAGCCCAGACTCAATAAGAAGAGAATTTAGGGCAGTCCTACAGCTTGGCTTCCAGTAACAGCCCTACACGTTTATTTTCTTTAGCTTAACAGGAAAGAGAGAATTATGTTTAGATTTATATGACAAGGGCAGTTCTACCAAAACACTTGCGATAAGCACTGTGGAAGGGGGAGGAAGGTGTGTGCATGTGTGGCAAAAACCAGGCAGGCCAGTGGCAGAGAGGAATTGCAACACCCTGCAGGTCACATCAGGGGGGTTCTCTGGGTTCTCTTATTTTAACCGATAGCACCTTCCTTAGTGTACGTCCAAATCCAATGCCAGTGGAAGAAGAAGGAGGGAGGCCCTGGGCTCTTCCATCTCTGCTGACGGATGAGGGTAGAGGTGTTTGGCTCTGTTTTCCTGACTCCTGCAGGCAAGGAGCTTCCCAAGGACAAGATATTCCGGACAACTCAGGAATGCTTGTTCTGGGATGTCCGCAGGGCACCCTGTGGTTCACCACCCCACACACCCCTGCTGCGATTTCTGCCTTTCCTCAGCTTCAGAGGAGACTCAGCCTCCCCAAAAGCCCCAGTGGCTCCCTCTGCCAGCTAGCACGGGCTGCTCAGGCCATCCTGAGCTCCCAGAGCGCAGGCTGAAGTGGCAAATGCTGCTCATGCTCACAAAAGCAAGGTTTTGCCATCTTAGTGAGACACAGTGGCAACTCAGAGGCTCTGGAGGAACACTGGGTGCTGGCCAGAGAGAGGCTGGCTCTTAGCAAGTAATCTCCCATCCCTCTTGCTCTAAGCCAAGGGAATGGGAAGGGTTTCGCCTTCCTTTTAGCTCTGCTCAACACAGAAGACTGTGTATTTAACCCTCAGTGGGGGAATTTTGGGGTGATGGAAAATATCATCTATTTTTTTGCCAAGAGGGGAAAAAAAAGCCTGAAAATGACAATAACAAATACAAAATTGCCTTCAGATTTCTGGGCTTTGGTTTTTTTTTTAAATAAAAACCTGCAAATGTTCCATCTGTTTTCATCAAAATTTTGTGCAAGAGGCAAATAATGCTTGGATCATTGCTTTTGTCTTGATTGCTCCAACCTCCTGCTCCAGAACACAGCAGTTTCTGGGCAGGGAGCGGGGAGCCCTGTGAGAAGCAACCACCTCCCACAGTGATGGGGAAGCTGCACCCTACCAGACACCAAAGATGCAAAGTTTGCAGTAAAAGGTTGTCCTGCAGACTCCATACAATTACTTCTGGCAGCTTTCAGAAGGAAGATCTGGTAGAGGGTGGTGACCTGCTACCATGCTAAGAAGACTGCAGAGACCTCATTCAGTCTCTTGCCCTGAACAAAGCTCTACCCATATACTCCCAGCCTAGGTGAACATCATGCACCTCCTTGCCCAGCTCCACTGTGACTTTGCAAAAAGTCATTTGTAACCTACATTGACACCACAAAGTTCATTTCCAACACAATCCCCTCTAGGCAAGAGCAGGCCCAGAGGACCCAAAGCATCCTCAGCACAGTGGGGTGACTTGGCATGGGGGGAATACTAGGCAACAGCAGGCTTGGGCTCTGGTTTGTCTCTGCAGAGGGAAGACATCCAACTCGCCACCTACTGCCCTGATTCTGTACACGCCTTCACAATGGTGCTGGCAGGGTTTTTCGCCCTGGCAGCTGTGTCAGAGATTGACAAGAGCTTTAAAAAATTTGGAGGGAAGTGAGGCTCTGTGTCTTTATTAAGAAATCAATGAAACCCATAGCTCCATCACACAAAATCCAGCCCTCCTACCCTTTTCAACCCTGGCTGGCTGGGCTGCAGGTCATCAGCACCTGTCAGAGAGGCCCACACTGGAGGTACCTAAATAAAAACAGGCACCATGCAATCTCGCATCTGGAGGAACCTTAAATTCCTTCTGTGATATCTAGAGCAGACACTCTGGGAGAAGGTTTGCATTGGGTCTTTGATGGGTCTCCCCACATCTCGAAGGGACAAATCTGATCACAATGGAAAAGAATCAAAGGTGGAGTTGGTTGGGGCTGCCTGGTCCAAGGGCTGTCAGAGCCAGCAGGAGCTTTCCTATTGTCACCATCATCCTTCAGATGAGTCCAAATTTGGAGGCATGCCCTGGATCACAGCCTTTGGGGGTAGTGGGGCTGGTTCATTGCCAAGCCTCAAGACAAAGTGCAAAGGAAGGGTACTGCATTAAGATACGTTTCTCCAAAGTGAGGAAGCAGGGAATAACTCCAGAGCTCTGATTCAGATCCTTGTCTGCATACGTGGTGTGTCATTAAGGGAGAAAAGCTGGCAGCAAGCTCCAGTTGCTTACTACTGCACTGGCAGGAAAGACAAATGCAGAGCATAAGATAAATGAGGCACTTCTAAGTGCGAGAAAGTCAATACTATAGAGACCTTCAAACTGGAGTCTGGGGAACAGCCAGCAATTCAGCTCGCTGGTACAGACAGGAAGACATCTCTGTGTGCTGAGAGTTTATCAGTTGTTTGGACTGGTACATCCCTATAGGGTGACAAGACAGGTGGCCACATGGGACTGGACTTGGGCTCAAGTCCTTGCAGGGGCCCACCGGGAGGGATTGCTCATGCACCATCTGTGTTGTGGGAGCTCTTGGAGGAAATCAGAGCCTTGCTGTGCATCATAATGTTCCACTAAAAAAAACGACTAAGTCCTGGTGTAAGACAGTCTCCAGTGTGATCAGGCAAAGAGCAAGATGGAACAGAAGAGTGACTTGCTCAAAACCTCATTAAAAAGCCAGACTGATCTCCCTGATCCTGCTCTTCAAGATGCCTGGAGACACCCAGAAACACTGGGCATCCCAAAGGCTCTGCTACATGTCAGATCCCATCCTTTATCATCCCCTCTTCCCTGCTGTGATGCACAGAGAGGATGCACCTTCTCCATGGCCCTGCAAGAGCCACTAGCCATGGTGGGAGCTAGCTTGCTCTGCTGCACAGCATCATGGCACAGCTGTGTGTGAGACTGGATTAAATATGGCTGTGAGTGCATGCACATGTGCTGGGTCCGACAGCTGAAGGAAATGCAAACTGATCCACCAGAGGAAAGAAAGGAAGATGCTGCCCTCTTTTTTCAATTATATCCAGGTCCAAGGTCGGCGACCTCATCCCTCCTGCACTTCAGTATCTTGTCACACAAAACCCAGAGAGAAAGGGAATGTGATAAAGATGAAAGTGATGTGGCAGGCTCGTATGTGAAAACAATCACCCTTCAATTAAGTGTGATTGATTTCCCAAATCAGAGATGCATTCAGCTTCCAACAGATAGATATGAGCGAAGGCCAGATGCTAGGGAATTCAGCACACGTGCTTGGGCTAGGACACCACAATGAAACAAAATGGAGATGCCATAAAGTACCAGGTGCTTTGAGATGAGTCTGAGATGGGCATAAAGTCGAGACGCAAAAAATTTTCCACCCTCAAAGGAAAGCTCAGGGCTTGGAAACAAGATGCAGAGGAAAAAGGTGTTTTTCCATGCAGTGAAACTACAGCTTTGTAGAAGATTTGTCATATGAGAGCAGCAGCCAGGGACAGCCCAAAAGAGAGTGGGGACTTGGCAGATGGGTAGAAGAGACTCACTGACATATCTGTACAGACAAGGGACACAGCCCTTCCTATGGGGGAGCCAGAGGCAGAGAAGGGCAAGGCACCTTAGTAACATCTCAAAGCCTTGTTCTAAAGCCTTTGACAGACTACTGCGAGGTCCAGAAACTCTGTTTGGTCCTTGCAACATCAGCTGTGTCTCCTTTCACATTCAGATGCTCATGGGGCCCTTCCAGCTGTTTTACAGACCCCTGGTGCTTTGTGAACCAAACCTGCCCTGCCACCTGCCCACCACTGCTAGGGCAAAGCACCTCAGAGTGTTTCACAGAAGGCAACCACTGGAATAGAGGAGGACACTGGAGAAGCCACCTCACCCAAAGAGGAGGGAGCTGTGCTGTAAATGCCTGCAGCAAGCCCTGCTCCTCACTGAAGCACTGCAGCATGGCAGAGGAGCAGCATCCAGATAACCAGCTTTCAAGTGATAACAGACTTCAAGTGATTTGAGCCCTAAGCATCTCAGTGCACAGGGTTCATGCACATCAGGGCTGGCCAAAACACATGCTGTACCTGGGGAAATTTGGTTACTCCCAGCTGGTGGCAAAAACTGCTCTAACATCCTTCCTCAGCACTGGTTTAACTATGAAAGGGGAGCTTGCAACCCTCTCAGAAATTTGCCCCCTCAGCTCTTACATGTGGCATCTGATCACATCATTCTTCTGAATCCCACATGCTCCTCCTGCATTTTACAGCAATCAGCAAGGATGAAACTGGCAGCACCAGAGAGTTGTTTAAATGGAGAGAAGGGAAGGCAGCACTGCAGATTCATGGCTGTAGAGCAGCTCCTGTAGGTTAGGTTGGGCTGTTGTCCCGTTTTCCCTATCACGATCAGTCTCATCCATCTCCCTCTCTCTCCCCCTTGTCCCTTCCAGGGATTTCAAATAAAAGGTCTGCACTTGACCCCCCTCTTCCCTGCAGGGAGAGGGGAAGGCTGTGAATAGAGAGACCCTCATGTTTGCAGAAGTGATTTTCACATTAATGGCAGCATATGTCCGCATTGACTCCAACCGGCGGGGCTGCGCGCGGGCGCGTGTGTGCCGTGTGCCTGCATGCACTGCAGGCGGGGGGCTCAGTGTGGGGGGGCACCAGGTGCTCGCTGTCAGCCTGAACAAAAAGAAGTGTCAGCACTCTGCGCCGGGAGGCTGCGCTGGCAGCTCCCCCCTGCCTCCAGCCCCGCGCTCAGAGCATCCTGCCTCTGACTCACAGCAACATCCTCTTGCATCAGCTCCTAAAGCTCCGCTCCTGTTCTCCTCTCCCAAAATCGCACAGCACAGAACGTACTGACCCCCGGCTGCCTGCTGTCACCCATCACTGCACCCCAGAAGTTCAGATGGCGACTTTAGGTAGATGGCGGTTGTGCAGCTTCCTGCTCCTAGAACGTCCTCTGGAGGCTGCCCTGACCTTCTGCCAGACTGGTGCATCTCACAGCCCATGTAAAGTCTTGCTGCACCCAAAAACAGATCATCAAGGCCACTTGCTGAATTCACATCTCCAGCTCATGGCTGACTGCAACCTGCTGCCTCCTTTCATGCCTTCAGTGCTGAGACACCATGGGGCTGGCACCTCAAGCACTCCAGGCTGTTCTGGCCAGCAACCCCAGGAGGAGAGCTGCCCTGTCCCCAACAGTGTGAGTGGCACCCACACTGCCTGCACTTGGCCGGACAGCCTCCATTCAACACCAGCAAACCCCCAGCTCTGCCAACCCCAAGGTAGCAGGGAAGCTGAAGTTACACATTAAGAGAAGCAGGGACCAAAGCAGTTAGCACATCTCAATGCCCTCCCAGGATATATTGAACCCAGATATTTCCCCATGATGATGAAGCCAGCCATTGCAGAGAGGGAGGTCTGACCTGCTGCCTGGTTCTCTCACACCCACGAAATTTGCCAGTTCATGGATACGCTCAAACTTTCATCAGCAAAACTTTCTGGAGGAGACCAGGCCTTAATCTTTTTTTCTGCTCCATTTCTTCTGCCTCTGAAATGGGAGTCACTGTGTTTCTTTTTGCTGCACTGTACATCCATCTTGTCTGCTTAGATTCTGACCTGTCTGGTGCCCTGGAGATATTCAACAGCTCCAGCAGTAGGACCAGCATCTCCCTGGGGGTCTCCAGGCAGTGCTGCAATCACAGCAAACTCATGAAGAATAAGAATTAGGTGTGATCCTGTGTGGGCTACAAGGACCCTCAGAGACATGGCTGGAGTGAATGGAAAGAACAAGCACGTAGGCGATGCTGCTGCTCAGGGCACAGTGATAAGAAGTCCCTTATCTTCCCAGGTCACCTCAGGCCTATGTCCTGTGGGAGAGCTGCTTTGTGCCCCCAGGTGAGCTCAGCTACTGAAGGATACCATATTTTACCCCTTGATGAACAGTACATTTTTTCTACCCATTGTTTTATCTCTATGACAGGTGAGGATTGGTATGAATGGTGACAACTGGGTGCTGGAAATTGTTTATCTTCTACAGGACAGCACTGCACCATTGCAATGAGCTGTTCTGCAGGCAGAGCTCCCAGGGACAGCCTCCACGCACTCACAGAGCTTGCTTGGGACACACTCAGGGCTCCCCAGACACCTAGAATTCAACATTCATACACAGTCCCAAACCAGGACATCTGGCCTGGAGCTTGGAGCTCCTTCTCTTTACCTTCTGGCTTTTCCTGACTGGGCAAGAACAGGAATGGAAACTCTCACTTGCCGGAAATCTTGGTGTCTCCAATTCATTCTCTGTGGGGAATCAGAAATCTGCAAAAGCAAAAGAAAACACTCCCCAGACTGCAGATTGCAGCTTAAACCGTGAATGTGGAAGGTGAAACCACCAACACTGCTTTGCCACTGGACTTGTAAGTTGGGAAAGGAAATGTTCTTGCCATATTTTAAAATGAAGACTGCTGCTCAGCCTGGGAATTTCAAGCTGAAATTATTTGTATTGTTGCTTTGATTCTCCTGATCAGACAATAAAAGAACTATACCAAAGTATTTTCCTTCGAAGAATAGTGATATTGGAATAACCATATTTTTCTCCATGGTTCTTTATTTAAGGAAAACAGATCAGCTCCTATGCAGATACACCCAGACTCTAATCTTATTTCTTTTTATTTTTACCCTCTAAGCTATTAACAGTTTTGTTCTTCTCAGAAAAAAATCATCAGAGCTGCCCTTGTAACCACAGAGTCCAGAAGCCAGGGCTTTAATGAAAACACCAGCTACTGCAAAAGGGCCAATGGCTGATGCTATACATAGCCCAGACACTACACAGCTACAGACCGGAACACAGGGAAGAATCTGGTGGGTGCAATAGCTTGGTGCCTTATTTATAGCATGAAGCTGTGGAGCAGTGGTAGACTGAGCTCTGGTTGCCATTGCCCTTCCTGTGTTTGCACCCATCAAAATGAAAACATGTGTGACAGGCTAAGCTGGTGTGTCAGAAGTTCACCTCCAAGGCAGGCTATTTTAATCTACCTGAACATAGTCTATCACTCTTGACTCTTTTTGTCTTGTGCTTTACACACAGACATGCTCAGTGCAGATTTACGGTCTCCTATTGTACATGCAGGCCCATATGAGGTTTATTCTTTATTTTCTCTTGTACTCTGATGGGAAGAGTTTCAATACTTTCTGTGATATAAAAAGAGATCTGCCCAGAAGAGTTCTGTAGAACTGCAGTGGAAGTGTCCAGGCCAGGTCTTATTAATGAGCGAAGGCTGATGCACTGGATCCATTGAATGTGAGGGGAGTGTGGGATGCAGACGGTTTAAGCATTAGGAGCACTGAGTACAGAAGTGGTTTTAGTCTTCAAGACTTCATTAGTACACAGCAAGCAGATGATCCACCAGGTCCACCAGTGGATAGACTTCTAACAAGCCATGGTGTGGTAATCAGGCAGGTGGCTTCATGGCATGGGGAGGTCTCCTTAGGTGGTTTTGAGGGGTGGGAATGATGGGAGAAAAGGCTAAAAGCATTATGCCTGTTTTCTACCCCATGTAGCAAGATTTGCCATTCATGGAAATGAAGAGTCCTACCTAATTTTGAACATAAAAAATTCAGATGGAGCTAGAGGCCCACGCAAAATGCCCCCACAGCTACTCTCCTCTGAGACCATGCTGCAACACCCAACTCCCCCTTCCTGCAGGATAAGCAGGAGGTGGGAATCATGGGCTGCTGAGCAGAGCAGGGCTGCTGTCGCATTCACAACAGGGCGAAGCAAAGGGAAGCCCCATGCCCGCAGGGAATAGAAATCCCTTCGGCTTTTGAAAACTATGTTTTACACCAAGATCTCAAAGCAGCCAGCAGCTCCAATGTGCAGCCATTCCAATCAGACCAGAGGTGCAAGGGTGTCTCAAACAAGGTCTGAGGGGCACAGCTGACTTTAACTGCACAATCCCAAATGTGTATGTAGAATTCCCTTGCTGAGCACCTTCCCTCCAGCATTCCTGCATCGTCTGACAGGATCACACACTCCCAGTACACCCCTCCTACAATAGCAGGGCTGCAGGGATGGAGGCTGATGTGAGGGCTTAATTAATCAGTTAATTAATCCCAAACATTTTAACCCTCCAAATCCCTGCTGTGCTCTGCTTTGGCAATTTGTTCATTAGCTGAAGTTTTTTGTTTGTGTTTGAACCTGGATCATTTGATTTTTCCCCCAAGACAGAAGCCAAACATAATCATGTCATTAGGAGAGTATGTCTCTGTGTGTGTTTACCACTGTTTCCTGTGTTAAGAGCAAGCTCTACTCAAGACGTTTCTATGCTATCTCCAACCTCTCCTTTAATCCTCCTTTGCACTGGACGTTGCAAGGCTAAAGTCAGGCTGTGTAGGGTTGATAAAGCTCCCTTACCCACTCTGCACTGGTCAAGCCACCCCAAATTCTCAGGCGGTGTTGATGCAGGCATCTTTGGGTCTATCCTGTAAAATGGTCTTGGTGGGGTTCATGCCAACATCCAGCAGGAGCAGAGCACTGACTTTCCTCCTCAGT